AGGTGCACACGTGCACTAACCGACAATGCCGTTGCGGGGGCGGTGGTCAGTGACTGTGCGTGGTGACGGGGTGGCGTTGAATGGCGAGGGTGATGGTAGCAGTGCCGGGGGAGGCGGGCAAGTCGAAGCTTCAACTCGAACAGCCTCAGCATAGCATGACCCCTGCAGCAATGTGCCGATCGCCACTGTGTCACTAGGTGCCAGCACGGGCAATAAAGAATGTTCTGTTGAGCGCAGAATGCTTTTCGACGTCCTAGCGCTGCCTGGACGTCTGCATCGCTCACCAAGGCCTGTCGACGCCCGTCTCCACGGACAAGGAGCGGAACTGCCTTCACAGCTAGTAATATCTCCGCAAGCTAGCCAAATGGGGCATGCGAAACACACACGTAACCCCGCACGTAGACACAAGCATGTGCCGGGACGGGCCTGCACCGGAGGAAAGCTAAGCATGCCCCATGCGCACAGCATATGTCAGGATTTGGGCTCATGTGGTTTCGACCTCTATAAACCGGCTCGATGGGTCCTCGGATTTTCTTCGGGGCTGACTGCTTCGGGCCTGGCTGTCGATGGATAGCCACTCCTGGCAATCTGGCAGTGCCAGAGCTCTATGCAATGCAGAGACCACGTGTTGACGACTGACGCCTAGTCTAGTCGGAGTGCTTAGCTAGCTGCCAGCTTCTTCAAGCAACGGACTTGGTGAATGCCAGCTAGACGACCCACAACAGTCGGGCGACTGCAAGAGAACACCCGTGGGCTACTTGCTGCTTCTGGAATTGGGACGAAAGGTCGGCTGCTGGAGCTTTGTCAGCGGCCCAGCAACTCCAACTTACTGTTGAGTTCATTTTAGTAAACGCCCCCTCAACTAAAGAAACGCAAATCCGGAAACTCAATTATCACCCCCCCCTCAACTAAAACACTAGCGCTAAAACTCAATCAGAATCACGTCCCTGGCCTGTAAAAGAACACTTGAGAGCTTCCGGCTACCCCTTGATTTTTCAGCCCCCCTCTCAATCGTCGACCGACCCGGCGAAGGCCTGAAATCAACCGAAAAGGGGGACTACTATGAACCCATAAATGTGGAGGCTTCCTTACTGTAGGGCACTATCTCCTCCGACCTTTTAGAAAGGACCACGGCTTCGGCCTTGAGCTCTGCGAGGGTCGTTGGCAGAACCATGCTGCATGCTTGGGCTCAAGGTGGTTACGTAGACAGAACCATTACCGCGGAAGGGGGCGTCGTGGTTGGTATCATGTCATGTGCTCATGGTCGCCTAGGTCGATGCGAGGCTTCGCCTGCAAACGGCAGGCAGGCCCCGAAGCTTAACCCAGGTAGGACATGATGCGACTGCTCCAGTCTGTGGGCTGTGGTCCTTCTCCTACCCGAGCTTCTTTGAGCCCACCTCGCAGACAGGACGCCAGCCTTCCACTTCGGGCGAACCAGAGGTAGCTTGGCTCGAGCTTTGCCACACAACAGCCCCGCACTTTTCTCGGGAGATTGCAATGACAGGTAAGGCTCCAAGGGCAGCTCCTGCAGTCCGCAGTTGAGCTGTCTGACATGGCAGAACACTACGTGCATGTAGTCCTCTGCAGCATCCAACTGAAATATGATCCCAACCTGCCTAGGGGGCCTATGACCTACCACTGGGCCGGCAGTCCTGCCCACTGAAGTGCATCGGAATGGCGTGGGGGCAAGGACCTGCGGATCGGCACCAAAGGGCCTCTACAGATGAATACCACATGAAACCAAGTAACTTGGGTTTACATTTTGTTTGAGGGCCTTTTTCCCCAGCAAGATCTGTTTAGGCTTGGGGTTTGGGTTTAGGGAAGAATGCGCAACTTCAACAGGCGCTCTTGACTGCCATGTACCTTTTAAGCAGTAGTCAGCAGCTGAATCCGAATGGACGCACATCTGAGAAGGGCTCTGCCTGGTGCTGCCGACTGCTCAAGCGGGCGCCCGGAGATGAACAGCTGGCAGTGAGAAGCTTACAGCACAACATGTGTTTTCGTCACGCTGCTGTGATTATTCAGCGCTCATTGCCGATCAAGCTTTCCTAGACAGAATGTTGACAGAAACCACCCTGAAGCATTGCATTGCGATTACCTGTCTAGGCAAAACTACATTCCCTTCAAGATGCACCTGCCGTAAGGTCTTCCAGCCCAGCCATTTGCCACCAAATCGGCCCAGGCACTCTGCCCTTCGTAACTCGAGTCCCGGTGAGCTGTCGGCAACGAAGGACTCCAAGACGAGTTTTGACCAATAGCAGGCCCTGGGCCAGAGGTTTCAGGAACCTTCTTCACTCGGACCGGGCATGGAGCCAGAAAGCCAGGCTGGTGGAGGGACTGCTCCTTGGGTACTACGTCTCACTATATTAACCTAATCCTTGAGATGTCCTCAGTCAGAGTACAATGCTGCATTTGCGTGGCTGGATGGTTGTCTTATGTTTTCTGCTTGTCGTCGGCTGCGGGCCTGGGCGCACACGGCGATGTTCGTCGTCTCCATGTTGTTAGGCAGCACTTCATCTTCTGTAAACCATGGTATGTGACTTTATGCTTCGCCCAAGAATATAGTCGGGCCCGAAAGTTGCGAAGTTAGACTCGTACATGAACTCAAGGCGCAGCCCACTCTCGAACCCATCAGTTCGCAGTCCTCGTCTGCGTCCAAAACCTCACCCACCGCTGCTCCTTCTGCTGCCGAATCCTTCCAAGCATTTGGGGCGCTCTTTCACGTTTGAGTTGCTGCACATCACCGCATTGGACAATGAGATGGCTATGAGCTCCGCACGAAGACTACCGGCGTATGCTGTGACGAGGTAGGATGAAGATGTAGGCCGCCAAGGGTCGGCACATGCAAAAGAGCACGTATTGTTTCCAGCTGATAGCACAATGAAATGCAGATGTGTCTGTCGTGACCAGCAGGAGGTGCTGCTAGTCGATGTCACGAAAACGGAACGGCGTCATTTGGCTTTCCCAGTTCAGCCCCGACCCTCGCCAGGCTCCTCGAGCGCTGGAGAAGCTGCTTCCACTGCCAGGGCTATCGCCTCAGAGTTGCAGACTCTTCGATCTCGAAGGAGCACTTGGCTTGTCGGGTTTGGGCCGTTGTTGCTTCCACCAGGGACCAGACACTCTCACCTAATATCTTAAGATATCGCAACCTGCTGGCATGTCCTGCATGCTTGCCGCAAGATTTGGCCAAGAAGCTTCGCCGCCCTCCTGCCCAAAGCACATCAACGGCATGAGACCCGGATGGAGCTCCAAGACACCTCCAACTCCCCTGCACCGGTGTCAACACGCTTGGACAGGCCTCGACACGTGTCCGCCCGGGCAGGTATGGAGCAAAGTCCATTGCCAAGGAGAACCGAATCAAGAAGTCATCACTCCTGTGCTCGAATTTCCATCTGTGATGTAGGATCCAAATGCGAAACATCATCATGGGTAGCTATACAAGGGAGCACCAGAAAGGCGCAACAAGCTAAGCATGGAAACGGAAACAAAGCCCGCTGCAGATAAGGAAGTATAACGACTGCTACCTGTTCAACACAAAGCCCACGGAGATTCGGACTTCTTACTTGCGGGGCTTCGAGGGGAGCATCAGTTCAAGCTGTAGACCAATCGGATCATGCAAAGTCCTCACTACGCAAAGGTATGCGACGTTGCTTATGGCTCAACTCTGCATGCAGCAGCCCGTTCAAAAAGCTCAAATTGGCCCATATCTTGAATCTCATCCGCCACGGCTCCAGTAAAATGAAAGCCAGCCATCATTCGGCATGCCCTTCTTGTGGTAGATGTCAACGCCTTCATCTGTGATACCACTACCCTACAGAACACAACCGTAAGGTCTCGAGCCTAACACTTGGCGTAATATGATGTTTTAGAAAAGGCCATTTCATCTGAACAAGCACATGAGTACGTTTGGTACTTGATGCCACCCATGATCTTCTGCTAGCTTCGTGGGGGGATGCCAAGAATGCCAAAGTCACAAGAATGCACAAATTTCTCAGTATCAGCATGTATCAGCCACCTCCACAATAATCCAACCTCGTGGCTCAAAAACTCGGGAGAAAGGCACACTCGAGTGAGGGAGCTACGACGAACCGGACAGCTATTGTCTGTTCGCCTTGGCACCGTGCCAGTTCTTCGCCTGCAGAGAAGCGCTCCAATGCGGCGGGAAATCGTTGTACCTTGTCATTGCACGTGTCTGGAGCTTGCGGAGAGGGATGGCTTATCTGAAGTTTCGACTGGTCAGTTCACCAGGGCAGACCCTATCTACCCATCCAGCTGAGACATCCGTCGAACTGTCTTCCTATCTTCTTCTCCACCTGTCTAGCGTTATCTAGCTGGCTATCTATCTCTTCCCCTCCACCGCCAAAGGCAGGGCCAAGGTGGGTTGCGCCCCAACCCTAAACCCCGACAAGTGCGGGGTGTTGGGCACAGGGCTCCTCGAAAGGTAACTAGAAACCACCTCGCCTTTTGTCGGGCCCAAGTTTGGTTGACATGTTCTTGCGGGGCTGCAGTGGTTTGGGGGGTATATGACACTATACTTGTTTGTGGGTCACCAGGGATACTACTACCGACCCCTCCGCTGGCCTGTCACCTCTAGCCGCTAGCCTGGGTGATTTTTGGTTAACTGATTGCGGCCACCGTAGAGGTGCACACTCAAGTACTACAACGACATTTCCAGGTATCGGCACAGGGAGGCAAGTCTGCCCCCTTCCGACTTACAGCGCTTCCCCGCACACGGTATTCGCAGTAGGACACAAGTGCCGTGGGCCCGTGTTGGTTTCTCGACAGTTTGAAATGCTCGCCTGGTAATGAACAAACCAACAAACAAATCAATTCAAAAGCACAGAAATAAGCAAACAAACACGCAACGAAGCACACACGCTTCAATCGAAAGCTGGCTTGCTGCAAAGTCGCAGCTGCTTGCGCCAGCTCATCGTAAACCTGGTGATCTGGTGCAAGGAGATGGAACGGACTTCTGAAAAAACAAGGCGGCTTTCCGGCGCGAAGCACTTCGAGCTAAAACTTAACACAATAAACCTTGACTTGCTCGTCCTTGAATCCCAACATCCGCATCTACAGATGTTGGACCAACTGCCAGTACCACTCTACCTGGACTTCTTACACAACCAGTGCAGACCACATCCAGGTCCAGATGCAGAACGCGAGCGTGGCCAGGCATGCTATGCCCAATCTTTTCCGATGTGTTCAAGCAGATAGCATCAGAATGCTTGCACATTGTGGTGTTGCATGAAGCTGGTGCGGTACTGCTGTCGCCTTGGACCAGCTTGGTCCATCAGACGCCCCTTCATCAACATCAACATCCACAAGCTGTGAAGTGGTCGGGCAGCCACACGCATGCTTGTCCTCCCCTGCATCCCCACACAGCAGGGTCCAGCCGTGCCTGGCGATTGTTCTGCACCAGGCCACCAAGCCCGGGAGCCTCTCTCTAATGGGTTTCCTAGACATGGTTGGGGGGTGGTAGAGATCGCCTCGAACATGTCGAGGATGGGGCCGTGGTCGATGGCCTCACCGACCTTGGCATTGAATATCTCTCAGAAATACCTCGCGACACCCAAAACAAGGCCGGGGCGCGTCGGCCAGACCGTAAGGACTACAAGACAAGCTGTGGTACATCGCAGCAAGATTTCGAAGTTAGGCACTTCAAGCTTGAAACCGCATCCAAGCGACCAGGTAGGTAGTGAAGCCCTGCCACCAGGATGTGTTCAAAGGGTCGTCTGCACAGCTGCTTCGGGCTCAGGTTTCGCACATGGCTTTCAGAGGTCTCTTCAGGTTCGGTTGCAGCAGAATCAGCCAGAGCCCTGTGATCCCTTTCTTTCCTTTGATTTCCGGACAGGCTGAACATCCCGGGAACCGCTGTGCGACTCCGTATGGCCACACCCAAACCGCAGGCTGGAATTCTGGCGAAAAGCCACCCAAACGGCGCCCAGCTCCACCTGAGGGCGACCATGCAGCTGGGCCCAAAGAGTTGGGCAGCACCCACGGTTCTGAGGCCTCGGATGGTCACGGGTTCTCGGTTTTTAATCCGGGAAGCAACGCGCTGTGATCTGTCTGACTTGCGTCTGTTTGTCTTGCAAAAGTTGCGGAGTTTATAAGAAAAAACATTAAGCAGATTAAGCCTCACTGAGGCTCTACTAAGAAGAGCCATCCGCAGATATGCCCTGCTGACTATCCCATGTATCATTATGCATGCGCCTCCTCAAAACGACGCAGGTTCTGAGCGACTGCAATGCCCTTATTTATCACATGCACCCACGGCTACAACTACACCATGCCAAAACTGCTGGCACCAGCAAGGGCCGCTACTACTCCTGCGCCGCATTCACCACTGCTACAATTGCTACGATCCCTTTTTGACGCTTTGGGCATCTATCAGGGCTGAGGAGTACGAACCGTCATGTCATTGTTGATGTCTGGGCGTTGCCACTGCGTTTCTGGCTGCCGCTCTCGCTTGTGCTTCGTGTAGCTACTTCCACATCAATGGAGCAGTTGTTGTCCTATGTAGGCTTCTTGGCCAGCACAATTGAACAACACAACACGACAACAGCTATCGCCATCGTCCCCCTCATCAGCCACATCATCATCAACATCATCATCATCATCATCATCATCATCAGCCTTATCACAAGCCCCAGGACCTTCGCCGGCAATACCATACGGTACCAGAAGCACAGGCTACGGCTACACCTCCAGGATTCTTCGTATTATCAGTCCCAACTGCTGGTGCTGAAAACATCTTGTGCTGCATCATTGCCTCGACAAGAGCTGCCTGATTCCTGCAATATCATCAGAGGACTGTAACTTGTGCCAAGCTTCAGCAGACCGAGATGGGTGTTGATCACACCATGCTTCGGAGCTGATAGGAAAGGCTTCTTGAGAATGCCATCCTTAGGTCGGGCCTCACACACCTGAAAACCACTTGCAGGTTCACAGAGCAGTAGTGGCCAGGCCACGTAGCCGCCGATGACAACCAGGTCGGTGCGGCTCGCCCGATCCACCATACTCGTCGAGTTCGCATCCACGCTACCCAGGTACGGGATGCCTTGGCACTGTTTGGCGCATTCGCCCCGACGGCAGAGCACCAGGCCCGTGAGTCTCAAAACGATTGCCTAACATGCTGACTGCTATCCGAATGAATGCAGAGCAGCTGCCCTTGGACAAGCAGAAGCTTTCCTGCTGAACTTGCTGCGCTCAGGACATGGGACTTAAGGACCGCAGACCATGGCAATTGCACTAGCTTGTTCCGAACTGGTCATGATGCAACTCAGAGCTATTCTGCAGGCCGTTGGTACGGCTTCCCACGTCACAAAATCATCAACTCACTTTTTCGCAGATCATGTTCAGCTCATGCTCTGTCGGTGTCCAGCTTCTGGTCCAAGCCGGTGGCATGGGCGGCAGCATGCTTCTTTGCCGTAGCGAAAGCCACCTGACAATTGCGTGTGGCTGCATCTGGCTGAACGTCGGCTTCCCACCAGTGACTGATTAGTTTTGTCGCGAGCACCCAGCGAATACATTTGTCCCTTACAGCTTTCCTGCAGCTCCTCCTCCAAGCCCTATAGCCCGGAAAACCGACTCTCGAGATTGAGCTGCTTAGCAAAATGCGACAAAAGCAGGCGGCCAGAACTGCCTCGTACCGCGACGCCAACACTTCCAGCCTCTGCGGACGAAGACATTTCCAGAACAAGGCTTCGTCTTGGGACTGCCTTCAGGCCTCTTAGGCCGCACAGCCACGGCACGAAGGAGCTCTCGAGCATGTTGTAAGCACACGACTCACGACGAGGGAAGCCCACGAAGGCTCATGGAACAGGCTTTCACGAAGACCCCCAGAGTGCTGTCAAGAAGCTGTCCCAGCCCATAGTCCTGATGGCATTCGCATTAGGGAAAAAGCTGGTCTGCGTCCTCCAAGTCCGAGATTCTCTATGGCTAGCGCGAGGTGCAGCCGGCATCAGCAAACAACAGTACAAGGGTGAGAATAGTGAGTGGTGCGAGCAGCACTGCACTATATTGATAGAAAATCCTTGGAAAGAGTTGCAATCGTCGCGAAAGGTTGTGAATTCTATGCCCGGGGAGGACGCAGGCTGTGGCCTTGACAAGTGGCGGAGATGCCAAGGAAGCCAACCACGGAAAGCGGACGCCGACACCGGTCTGCCACCTGCCCTGCAGCATATTTCGACACGGGGGTGGCTCTTTACACACCACAAGATTAGGTTTCCCGGACGGTCACCGCATGTATACGACACCTCGTAACACAATACCTAAACAATCTGCATGTGAAGCGTGTGAGGCAAACCTGAAATGAAGAAAAAACACGATGCGACACGGATCGAGTGTCCATAGACATACATAGCATACAATACATACCTTCGCGAGCACCCATCGAGCACCCACGCAAGCCCCACCCACCCAGGCACACCCTGCATCTGGCCTCCTAGAGCTGGCGCAAGATCTCTTTCTTCGGAGGCGGATGTCATGACATCTCGGCGCTACACGGCCATGTCCATGCTAATTACGGCTCCTTTCAACTGGGTTATGATCCGCACCTGCATGGAAGGAGACTGCCCGGTGTCCGGCATGGTGCATTCAAGGAGCGAAGCTTTGTCGTTTGCGTTTGCATGCGTGTGAAGCTCTCCTTCTCGAGCCAGCTTCGTGATGTCTCGGAGGCATTGGTGCGCTGCCAGCTTTACTGTCTTGCTCTCACATGGCGCCAGTTCAAAGGCAAATGCGTGTAAAAAAGGGCATCTGCTGCCCTTCCGTGCAAGCCTCTGCGCCGATCTTGTTGCACCGACGGCTGCTCTCTTCCACTATGGCAGGGGCACCGCTAGGCCGCGACTTATCGGCAAAAGGGTGAGACCTTCGGGGGCGTTCAACTGCTGATGCGTGGCCAAGCATCCTACCTCGGCTTGCGTTTTTTTGGAGAATGAACAAACAGCTGCCTTTTGCACCAGTGTTGGCCAGGCAGCTCGTAGGCCTTCTGGCCTTCATCGAAACCTGAGACGTTGTCTTCGCATTCGTACTTCAAGCAGTGAAACGTAGAGCATTTTGACGGTGCAGCGAGCACGTACAAGGATCTCAAGCGGATTGGCCAAGATTGAGTCAGAACCGGAACATGGCTTGGAGCTGATGTTGTGTTTGCAGTTACCCGTTGGCGATGCTCTTCGCCATTCGAATGGTTCAGCTATCGTAAAGGCCAAGACACGTTCCAAAGCGTGATGCTTTGCATTGGACATTGCCTTGACCGCATCTTCCTGCCACACATGGCCGTTGAAACAACTTGACTGTGAAACTGACCCACGGAAACCTGCAAGCCTGCTCCTGCAATGTAACCTACAAGGACCTACAAGACACGACATGAGAAGGCTCCTGACACGAACTCAGCCTCGGAGCTGAACCAAAGGCACGCCAGCTGTCACAACGCTGCAATCTGCAAACAGCTCCACCCTATCCTCATCGAATGGTTGTGATGAGACACCTGATAACGGAGTGAATATATAAGCAGCAGCTACACAAGTCTAAACCCCCGGGCTTGCACGCGCCCTAAAGCCTTCTTCCCCAAATTGCAAAACCAGGCCCTACTGTAAATCGCAAAGGCAGGGATGCTGGTCTGTGCCGATACCAACAGCGGCCTTGCAGATCCGGATCTTGTCTCCCAGGTCGACCACCTGCTGCAAAGTAAAAGCTCTGCGTCGTGCCTCCGGCCTAAGAAACCTTCTCCTCCTACTACTGCTGCTGCTGCTGCTACTGCTACTGCTACTGCGACCACCATCACGAAGTGACCTAGCAGCGGCACAAGCACTGAGAGTACAGAAAAAAACGCGAGAACATAAGATAAAACCCTAAGCCCAAAGCCCGAAACCTTGAACACTGAACCCTTTTACCGTTACTTCTTAGAACCCTGAGCAAACCCATAATGGAAAAGTCTGACTGTAGCAGCCACCTCAGCAGCACCTGCTGCAACACACACACGCTTCCAGGGGGGCCAGTTAGCCCTCCGCGCTCCAACTCGTGCTTCGGGCCTTTAGAGGGGAGTGAAAGACGACAGACTTGAGCACCGTTGTGTTTTTACCTCTTTTAAGGCTCATAGATGCGTCTGACAAGGACAACGCAAGCTCTCGCAAACTCTCTCTCTCCCTCTGCCGTTGCATCCTGTGGGTCGAATGGCCTCCGGCGACGATGCGTCAGGGCTAACCATCATGAACCAAGGAATCCAACGGAGAGAAAGCAAGGGTTGCTGCACATGTTGGCATTCCCGCACTCATGGTAGCGAACCTGCTTTTGCATCTCCTTCGCCTTGGTTCAAACTCAGATTTCACTGAATGGCCGCGTGCGTTCAGCATGGCTCGCTTGTGAGGCTCAAGGAAGCGACGTCCCTTGACAGGCCAAGTGGAGGGATACAAGGCGAGGGCCCAGAAAGGGTTTTGAGCAGAACGGCCTCGACCATGGCAGCCAAGTCACCTGCTTGTCCATCTCTTCCTTGGCTCTGGAACTTGGGTGTTACCGCGGGGCGAGGTGTTGCACATGCTCAGCGGCAAGCCAGCATGTGCCTTTAGATGTTGGCATGCTTGCCGTGTTTCTTGACTCAACACCAGGTCCAAGAAACATGTTCCGTCTTGGTCAGGTCGAGCTCGTCCAGAACCTGCAAACTGCAAACTCGAGGCAGCTGACGGCGGCAACATCCGAAAGTAAGCTCAACTTAGTTTTCCTTCGAAGCTCCAAATTGTCGCAGGGCCGGTACCTGTAGCTAAATCATGCATCCTTGCAACCCTGCACTGGTCCTGAATGGAAGCTCGCACGCAAGTCGGCCCGTCCTGCTTCAACTTCTTTTCCGTCGCCTCAGCCTGGCCAACTGCAGCTCGTGCAAACTCACACGGCACTTCTAACACTCTGGACTACCCGATTCATGTCAATGTGTGTTCTACTGCAGAGGTGCGGAAATCGAACTGTGAGCTGCCCACGCAACGCATGTTTGGCTTCGTCAGGTGGGGCCCACGAAACTTGCTGGAACATGAAGCAGAAAGCTAATCATCGGAACGTGGCTGAGACCCACAGTGCCTCTTCCTGCTTGAAGCTCTTCTCGACTGTCACCTGTCACCACTTCATACCGACCCCTAAACTTCGACTCACGCAGCTTCGGCACAGCCGAACATTAAAGCGCCGCTAATCAGATCTGCAGGGATTCAGTGGCCAAGTTGCGTCGTCTGATTCGAGGCTTTCGGCGGCACTTTCAGCCGCTGCCACCAGCGACTCAATCCTTTCTCAACTTCTGCTTGCTTTGTTGTTCCTTTCTGAATCCCATCTCAAGTTCTGTTTACTCTGTTCCTTCCTTCTTGCCCCATACCGCTTTTGTACGGAGAGTTGCATGCCGATCTATTGCAAAGCTGCTGTAGCGATGTTGCTATATTGCGGAACCGTTTCGTAGTGTCGAGTGACTCTAGTGATTGCTGCTTGGAGGTTGTAGCAGAAACACTCAATTTAAACTGCTGCGGTTCGGTTGCTGCGACTTTCCTACGAAGCCACGGTGTGCATGTTCAGGTTTCCTCTTACATTCTCTTGAAGCAAGTCTTCAGCGCTTCCATCTTATGTCCCTACACGACCGAAGGCTCTCATGTTCAAATCCAGCAGCATGCGGGGGTGACGGCTGAGTCGGGAAGTCGCGTCAGAAACAAGGCGGACAAAGTCAGAAAAACACCGCCACAATGGGGGCTTGGACATTACAAGGTGGTAGACAACTTGGAACAATGCGTTGCAGGCGACGAAGAAGAAAGCAGAATCGGCTGGAAAGGAAAGCAAGCATGAAGGAGGGTTGCCTGCAGGAAAAACCGCGAATACCGACAGACTTGACCAACATCTCTAGAAGTCGGAAACTAAGGCAAACATGCATGGAACGCCTCAATAAGGCAGTCGGCGACAAAACCCACAATACATGTCATGCAGCCTCTTCCGGACCGTCGGGCTTTTGCTCTGCAACCAGGCTGCTCCTCATCCACCTCGCTCAGCTCGGCCTTGTGGGCATCCTCCGGTCTAAGAGGTCAGCGACGCTTAGGTTCTTGACCCTTGACAGCAACTGCGATGCATAAGCAGCGGGCTTCTCAGGGCGAACAGAAGGTCATATACAAATTCCGAGTCGCACATGCTACGACGCTACGAACATGGGAAAGCCTCGCTCTCTGAGCTTCGCCTTTAAAAGAACCCTTGTTTTGCTTCAACCCCTTGGAGCTCAACGCAGGTCAGAGTCTGTGAGCAGAACTGCAAATCAACAGTGGTGTCAAGAAGGCTGTCGCCGCCTCCAACTCCTTCAGCTCCTGCAGCACCTTGTTGGAGTTTCGGCGCGTCTCCAGCCTAAGGTGGCTGCCCGAAATTCCAACGCAAACATGACAGGGCGGAAGCTACCCTTTTTTGCAACTGGCATCGTTGTCCATTCGCAAAAACCCTAAACGCGAAACACTCAAACCTTGTTCCCTAAAAGCCTAAAGCCCTTTTGCCTAAACCCACTACTGACTAGTGGGAGATACCTCCAACACCTAAAGCTAAGTACTAAGGCTCCGCTGACCGGTCGCATGAGATGAAGGGCTGAGGTAGGGAGGATTCACTGGACCTTTGTGCATCTCGTACCGGCGGCCTTATCGCAACCATCCCGGAGTTGACCCCCTCTGCAGGCACGCACGTGTGAAGTGCAAGTCAAAGTAAAGTCTGCAGAAGTCCTTTGGATGCGTGGGACGACTAAGCCTTAAGCAGCATGACGGCCCCATGCAACAAAGCCCGTGGGATGTCTATCACCCAGCCGACTCTTAACGGCGTGGCCAACCCTTGAGCCACGGCCCCTCCAAATAGCAATACCTCCCTTCGATCGAGCCGCGTCCTTTGCTGGTGTTCCTGCGGCATGAAGTCGTCACATTTCCACTCCGACAACCGGCAACATGCTTGGCGAGAAGGCCCAAGCCCCGCAGCCACAAGCTCGGCCACTCTATGCACGTTCATGCTCACACACTGGCTCGCAGATAGTGGCTAGCAAGTAGAGCCTTAGCTGCATGCAGCCCAAACGACCCTGCGGGGCAGAAGGCAAGAAAACCTGTAGCCATGTCCACCCCATCGCCGCCTTCAGTAGCTTGCGCTCTTCGCTCAAGGTGTTCCGGATGACAAGCTCCATTTCGGCAATCTCCTTCAAGGTATGACATAGTCAGAGCTTCTCATAGAACAAGTGCCAGGTAAAGAGGGGAGAGAGAGAGAGAGAGATATATATATATATATGTATATATATATATATGTAGTATTTGCTTACATACTCTCTATATATATAAATACACATACATGCATACCTATGTGCTATACAGGATCTCATTTGTTTACTCTATATTGAAGCCATCGGCCAAAAGTGCTTGTAGTCTGAATTGGGTGTCGTGGGCTGCGGGCATGGAAACTGTCAAGAGCTGGGTGATCAGGGAAGACTGGTCGGCGGCTTCGGATGCAAATTCCC